GTGGTGTGAGAATCTGTGTGGTTCCATGATGAGTTGTTAGTTGGGCTGCTTGTATTGGCTGAGATAAGGTTCTTAGACCTGAGATTAGTACTATGGTATTGGGGGTGAGGAGTGTTTGGAAGTATGAGGGTGTTTCTGCTAAGATTTGGGTAATGGCCCTTGGCGGGCAAGAGAGCTTCTTGACTTGTTGACTTCATGGGCGGCTATGAGTTTCCGAATGTTTCTTTATCATGGGCAGCTATGAGTTTCCGAATGTCTCTTTATCACGGGCAGTGTTGTGGAGGTCTGGAACAATGTTAAATTCAATGTGAAGTGTATTACCGGCATCCAGGATGTTATTGAGCAGCTATGGTGGCCAGAGGTTATTGCTTCGGGCATTTGAGTTGTGTGGAACAACATGTGATTGTATTCTAGATTGGAATTTTGGCTCGATTCAGCTTGTTTAGGTTTATGCAGTGTGATGATGTGGGATTTGGGTCCTAAGGTGAACTTCAAATATTGGGGTTTGGGTTTTGTCATAAGATTATGGACTAAGAATGAGGTGAGACCTTCAGTTGAGTTGCATTGCCAGTCCTACATAGGTTTGGGTGATGGGGAATCACCCCCGGGTGTATGTATGGTGAGCTCATGCAGTGGTTCGATGGCATTGGAATGACTCCGGGCACGTTCGAGGACGAACGTATGTTTAAGTGGAGGAGGATATAACGACCCGACTGGTCGTTTTGAGAAATTTCATCCGGTTCGGCAGTTTGAGGTCACGAGCAGCTTCATATTATGTATATCGATTTGCGTGCATGGTTGGATTCTATTTCCGGATGAATCGGAGTCGAACTGGAAGAAGGAATCTAGTTTTGGAAGCTTAAGCGGTAAGAATTTGACCGGAATTTGACTTTTGAATAAACAGCTCTAGAATGAGTTTTTGATGATGTCAGTAGCTTTGTATTGTAATTTTGGACTTAGGCGTGCGTTCAGATTTGGATTTGGAGGCCCGTAGGGTAATTTGAGGCATTTCGGCGAAAATTGGAAAAGTTAAAGTTTGGAAAATGGAGAAGTTTGACCCATAGTTGACTTTTGCGTTATCGAGGTCGGAATGTGATTCCGAAAGTTGGAATAGTTCCGTTATGTCATTTGGGACTTGCCTGCAAAATTTGGTGTTATTTGGAGTTGATTTGATATGGTTCGGACGCTTAGTTGCAATTCTAGAAGTTCTTGAAGTTCATAGTGATTTTAATGCGTTTTGGCATCCGATTCGTGGTTCTAGAGGTTATTTTGGTGTTCCGACCGCAAGCGAGTTCGTGTTATGTGTTCAGACTTGTGTGGGCTCTTAGTTTAAGTTTCGACCGATNCGTTTTGGCATCCGATTCGTGGTTCTAGAGGTTATTTTGGTGTTCCGACCGCAAGCGAGTTCGTGTTATGTGTTCAGACTTGTGTGGGCTCTTAGTTAGAAGTTTGACCCATAGTTGACTTTTTCGTTATCGAGGTCGGAATGTGATTCCGAAAGTTGGAACAACTCCGTTATGCCATTTGGGACTTGCCTGCAAAATTTGGTGTCGTTTGGAGTTGATTTGATATGGTTCGGACGCTTGGTTGCAATTCTAGAAGTTCTTGAAGTTCATAGTGATTTTAATGCGTTTTGGCATCCGATTCGTGGTTCTAGAGGTTATTTTGGTGTTCCGACCGCAAGGGAGTTCGTGCTATGTGTTCAGACTTGTGTGGGCGCTTGGTTTGGATCCCCGAGGGCTCGGGTGAGTTTCGGATTAGTTTCAGAATGATTTCTTTCATAGTCTTTGATTTCTGGTCTGGTGTCATGGCATTTGCGATGTTTATGTCGCAAATGCGACTATCGCAATTGCGAAGCAGCCTCGCATTTGTGAAGCTGGGCTGCTGAGGAAAGGACTCGCATTTGCGAGGAATTCTCCGCTTTTGCGAGGCCTGTTGAGTTCGCATCTGCGGACTCAGCATCGCATTTGCGATAATGGCCTGAGCTGAGTCTATTCGCATTTGCGATATAGTGGCCGCTTTTGCGAAGATCCAGTGTCCGCATTTGCGACACTCCGGTCGCAACTGCGAAGGCAGCAGGGAATTCCAATCTTCACTTTTGCGATAATTTGTTCGTATTTGCGAACCCAGTGTCGCGAATGCGACATCTGCAGCCTGCTAAAAGCTGGGTATTCCGAGTTTTTGCTTCATTTTTCATATTTTTGAACCATAACTTCGAGGTGAGGCGATTTTGAGAGAAGATTTTCATACCAAATCAGTGGGTAAGTGTCTTTTAATCAATTCCCAACTATATTTTGTGATTATATCTTAGATTTAACATCAAATTCATGAGAATCCAAAGGAAAATTTGGGGGAAATTGTAAAATCTTTCAAAAATGTAAAATGATGATTTGAAGGACCAAATGGTATCAGAATTTGATGATTTTTTATGGGTGAACTCGTATCGGAATGGGTATTCGGTTTTTGTAAATTTTGTCTGGTTCCAAGGTGCGGGCCTTGGGAGTTGACTTTGGTTGACTTTTTGCAAATTGTATAAGAATCATAGCTTTGTTAATTGAAATTATTTTCTCTTGCATTGTTTGATGTATTCAAGTCTTTTTATTCTAGATTGAGCCGAGCGTTGATAAATTGGCAAAGGAAAAGCTAAATTGAGTATTGAATTGGCCGAATTGAGGTAAGTATGTTGCCTAACCTTCTACGGGGGACTCCCCCTTAGGAATTGAGTCTTCTATGCTAATTGTAGTCCGTGCACGCGAGGTGACGAGTGTGTGCTCGCACATATTTGTGGAAAATTTCCTTTAGGGTTCTTAGGTCCTTATGTTCATTAAGTGGGAAGTTTTCCGTTATGATTGGGTTTCCTAATTGCTTGTTTTCTTATATATGCTCCATACGACGTTGTTAGCTTTCCTCTAACTCATACTTGTTACTTGGCCCTTATTTGCCTTAATTGAAGTGATTGTCCTCCTTATTGTTTTGTTATTTCTCAATTGTGAATTCCTCTATGACCCCGTGTATGTATGCTATGTGTCCAAATTGTTGTGGTTGCCGTTGTAGTTATCACGTGCCTTATATGTCTTGTTGTTTTTGTAAAGGTTGTTGTGCTTCTCGGTTTTTCCGTGATTCTCTTATTGCCGTGTACTCATACTCTTGGTGGTAGAAATCCTTGTGGTTGGGTTGTTGAATTGTTGTTGTTGTTGTTGATTTTAAACTATGTCTGTTTGTTGATATGTTGATGAGGAATAAGGGAGGATTGATGATGTCTGGTGGGACCGGGTTGCACGCCGCACAGGTGAGATCGGGTTGCACGCCGCAGGAGGAATAAGGGTGATAAATATTGAGGAGTAATAAGGGTGGACTGGTGGGATCGGGTTGCACGCCGCATCAATATATATGCTTATGTATTCCTCTTTGACTGTGCAAGTTATTCGGTGGTTTTACATTTCATTCAGGATTTGGTTATAGCTTAATAGTGAGAAGATCCTAGTTTATTTGTTTAAAACCTTGACAATTTGTATTTCGGATTTCACTGAGTTGTGAGGATCAGGTTGTTGGCATTGAGTTGTTGACTTGCCGTTGTTCCTTGAATTCTTTCCCTGAAACTATTATTCAGGTGAATTAATTTTTAAAGTAAATCTACTACGTTGAATCATTTCCTCCTGTCTTGTTAAGTTATTAGTAATATCGTAACTTAAAATAAAGAAATTAGTACTACGCTGCTATATATGATTTTTAAATTTGAACTCGCCGTGTATATATTCACCTTTCAATAATCCAAATTCCTATAAAAGTTATGTTTTATTTCAATTAGTTTCTCAATTAAATTTCCTTAACTCGATGATATTGAATCTTACTTAAAAAGGAATTTCTACTAAGTTTTAATTTATTAAATTCTATATTAAATGTAATAGTTCATCCGATGTTGTATTTTATTTGAAAAGGGTATTTTCTTGATTCAAATAATATCTCAAAATAACTTTATCTTTTCTTGTTGATTTTCTAATTGGTTTAGAAGCTGTAATCTACTTCATGTAATATAAATGAGACTACTTTAACATCATAATTGCATTGGTTATGGACCCTATGTACCGAGTAGCATGAAGATGACGTTGTGCAAAGTGAGATAGAAATATGTGGGCACAAGGTGCCGTGTGTGCTAAAGGTTTGGAAATTGAGGTTGTGATATGAGACACCGAGGATTGAGATGGTCGGGATTGTGTATTAGAAATGATGTGATTGATTGAGGTTGCATCGCCTTCTTCGTTTGAACATATTCTTACTTGTCTGTGTCCCAGTTATGATGGTGTTAATTTACCTGGCTATCGTTCATTACTATCTGTGTTCCCCTTCATTGTCTCTACTGTTTGTAGTTTGATTTTCCCCTGCTATTGATATTACTTTGTTATCTTTATCATGGTAGTTCATTATCATATCATGTTCAATATATTTGACTAGTAGGTGTCTTGACTGTTCCTCGTCACTACACCACCGATGTTAGTCTTGATACTTACTGGGCACCGCTGTAGTGTGTTCATACTACACTTCTGTACATTTTTTGTACAGATCCAGGTATTTGATTGGTAGTAGCTGTGCGAATCGTCGCGGTGGAGACTCAAGGTAAACTTGCTGCTGCGTTCGCAGGCCTCGGAGTCACCTTCGTTTGTACTTAATCCCATTTGTTCCTTTTGTTCTGGAACTGTTGACGTATTTATTTTGTATAACTACTCTTAGGAAGGCTTATGACTTGTACTACCGGTTTTGAAAATTATAATTGTTCAGAGTTATCTAATTTGAATTTAGTGAATATTAATGTTATTTCTGTAAATATTAGGCTTACAATCTAACAACAACAACAACAACAACAACAACAACAACAACAATAATAATAATAATAATAATAATAATAATAATAATAATAATAATAATAATAATAATAATAATAATAATAATAATAATAATAATAATAATAATAATAATAATAATAATAATAATAATAATAATAATAATAATAACAGCAGCATCCATAATAATTATATAAGGTAACATAATTAAACGGAAATGGGAAGGTAAATAAAAATTAGGTGAATACAAGTATACAACCATGCCAACGAGTTTTTTCATATGAACGATCTTTAGAATTTCCAAGGCTTGTATTATATATCAACCAGTCTTAGGGTTAGGTGGCGGCGGTTTGCGCGGAGCTGTTACTCTTTGTGCTATTGTATCATGGATCCCTTCTTCTTGTTCATCTTCTTGTCCTTGTGCATTTCCTTGTTCATCCGTCCTTGGTATAGGTGGTGGTTCAAGTACCACCACCCGTCCTGGTTCATCTATCGGTGGTGGTTCAAGTACCACCACCCGTCCTTGTTCATCTATAGGTGCTGGTTCAAATACTTCATTTATCGGTGGTGGTTCAAGTACCACCACCCGTCCTGGTTCATCTATTATTGACATCGGTCCTTGGTTTTGTGGATCTGACAAAATTGAAGAACAACAATAATTATGTCTCAGTTTTAGACATATTAGGTCGGCTATATAAATTCTCACTTAACAAAATTGAAGACATCTACCAAAATAGCACAGTTTGTACAATGAATTTTTTTTTTCTGAACAGGATACATTTGCAATTCTTTCTTACCTTTAGAAGATTTTCCACATGAAACAGAGTATTCGGACATTTCTTGAATCTTATTCTTCGTATCTGCGATGAAGTTAGCCATCTTTATTTTTTTATAAGCTATATATTGTTTGCCAAGGACCAAAATGAACTTTGGAGATTAATTGTTGAGAGGTTCATTAATTACTTGTTATTAAATAAAGCTTGAGAACCATGTGAGAAATTATTAATTTCTAGATGTGACAGCTAATTGTTGTTATTCACGTAATTGCATCTCTTTGTCAAATTAGAGAGTTGACTATTGATTTTCTTAAAGTTGGAGTATTGATGGGGAATATTTAAGGTGCCTGCCTAATCTATTCTTTTACCTTTTGTTACAATTCAATTGGATATAATTCATGTGGATTTAGATATTGTTGTCTACAAAAGGGATGCTATTTAGGACAATTAGTTCGATTTACATACCCACAGTAGTGTTAGTAGACTGTATTTGTAAAATAATTCTGGAAATATAAATGAGTATAAACAGAAATGAACATAAACAGAAATGACATAAAACCAATTCGAGCCCACTGAATTCACAGTATTTCCTTAAGGAATTTAATCCCCTCCTAGTACCCAAGGTTATGGATTATTTCCTCCCAGGATAGAACGAATTACACACTGGTGTATTGGTACTTCAAACCCCAGTGTTTCAGCGAACACAAAGTTCGGTAGCAAATCACACTTACTTTTTGCTTTGTTTGATGCTAAAAGTATGCAGAAGAAGGAGAAGAAACTCAGAAAATCGTAGTGAAATTCTGAGCAGAATAGTGTTGTATTTATAGCCAAAGTTAGGCTGAAATCTGAAGAGGTGCAACTCTTCAGAATGGCTGTTTATGCAAAACGCCCACAGCATAAATGCCATTACATAAATGGCCATTTACTCAATAATAAAGAGGGAAAATAAAGAGGGAAAAGTGAAGAGGGTAGTTACTTTTCTGTTACCAAAACAGAAAAACGGATTGGATTTAATATTAATATTTAATATTAATATTTTGTTATTAAAACAAATATTTAATAACATTTCTGTTAATATTTTACTATTAACAAATAAATTTGGTCCAAAAAGTTAATCAATCAATCATTTGACCGAATCCGAATCCGATATTCTGTTATTAAAACAAATATTTAATAACATTTCTGTTAATATTTTACTATTAACAAATAAATTTGGTTAATATTCTATTATTAAAATAAATATTTAATAATATTTCTATTAATATTTTACTATTAACAAATAAATTTGGTCCAAAAAATTAATCAATCAATTGACCGAAGCCGAAGCCGAGCGACGACGACGACGGCGCGAGGCTTGCCTTCTTCTCAACTCTTTAAGAGCTAGAAGAAGAGCAATTGCTTATATACCCATAAAAAACCTCTTCCTCTTCCAATATGGGACAATG